TAAAGTATTGAGAAACTATTTACTTGCATTATTTTATACACTAAATTAATTTGTTTAACCTTGAATATTATACATATTATCCACAGTTTCAAACTTGGAAGTTATTAATTGGTTATTTGAATATTTTTGATATTGAGCAATAATTTTAGACTCTTAACGAACATTTTTCAAAATAAAACAAGTTAAACTATATTATTTCAAGGCCAAGGAAATTAATATGAATTTAATTGTCTCATTAATCAACTAAATTAAATGATGACGGTATATACTTTAGTCGATTATTTAGACCTAAAGACCAGACAAAACTATAGGAATATTTTTTGACGGAATACAATTTTAAAAACGGATTATGATTCTTTAGGTTATTTCCTGGGTTATGCTGGGATTAGAAACTGAATTGTTTTACTGAAAAACGTAAAAAAATTTGAACATGTAAAATATATACATAAAGTACTTTTTCTTACTATAAAGTTTAAATACTGTACATCAAAATGCATGTTCAGTATTGATATAGATAGACGATTTATTTTTACAAGTAGGTTTAGGTAAATACTATAAAGGATAGTCGGTATTATGAAATAGAATGTCTGTAATTATTAATATTGACAACCAAAAATATATATAAGTAGGTATTTAGATTATCCAGTTTTTTTTTTTCGTATACACAGTAATCCATTTCAAGGGCTACACTCGATACTTACAAAGTATTTACTTTTTTAAACTTTGTTTTTTGATAATTTAAGGAATCTATAATGTTATATTAACATTATTTTGTGCCGCCTTTATTGTTAAGAGTGAATCGACTTCCTACATTTAATTTTTAAATGGGTTGTATTCGAAATTCCATAAATAGGCGGCGTATTATATTAGTTCAAATAAATGTTGGTGTTGAAATTTTTAATTTCCGTTCACCCGTTTACGAGATATTTTAACCATTCCATTTTTAAGTTTATGTAGAAAAAGAGCAGTAGAACATTATTGAAAAAAGATTTTGCTTACATTTTGATGATTACGTAATTAATACAAGTAATTAATATGTATTATTAAAATTATAAAATTTAAAAAAATTTAACATATCATTAAGTTCCTGACAAACCTGAACTTGAATTTGTTTTTGATCCTTGATATTTACTCAAAATTCTCACGAAAAATTTTATTGCTACTCAGCTCATATGCAATTTTTGAGTTATAATTATTTATTGTTTGATAAAAGCCATATGAAACGTTACATTTCTTTACCAACTAAGGTTCTGTCAAAAAAATCCTTTCCAACCTTAACAAAACATAGAACAGGCCCAGTTATAATTATTTTAATTTATACAAGTACATGTTATTTCTTTTTTTTGGAAACTTTTCATAACATTTTTAAACTTAGTTAGAAAAAAGTATCATAAAATATAATGTAACACAATTCCCCCTGTTCAAATTGTTAATAATATTTAAAGATATTAAAAAGTAAAATTAAGTTTGCATATAACTGAATAATATATTAATACAAATAAAACAATAGTTTTTTTTAATGATAAGTACATAAAATATAATTATTTAGTGAATTGAAGTCTTCTATCTTTCAATTTAACAAACTGGTCAAACAATCTTTGTAGGATCCTAAATTAACTCGAAACTGAATTCCCTCTGAATTGAAATTAACGCTAAATTATGAAGGCGTGCAGTTGACATAGATGACCGTAAAAAAATCGTAGTTTTATTACAATGTAAACAAATTGTTGAAGTAATTACATAATCAGTTAGTGTACTTATTAATAATCTTCTGTATAATTTTTTTTCATTTTCCATACAAATATTTAAATATTTAAAGCTATGAATTGAGTTTTTTTTTTTATAAAAGTGATTAAAAAAATACGTTCATTCAAACATTTACATTAAAACTCAGTTATTGTAGGCAGCGTCAATTAAATTTAAACTTTTAATTATTATATCGAAAGAAGAAGTAAATTTATTGAAAATACGTTGTAGTTGATAAAAGGTTATCAAGAAATGTTAAAAAAAAATAATACATCAAACGATCAAAATTACTTTAATAATCCTTTGGCTTCTGCGGCATCTTTTTATTTTTATTTTTTACATTTCTTAACAATAATTATGATAAAGCTTCATGACTTGTTCAAAAAAAAAAAAAAAGTATAAAATGATGTTTCTTGAAAAATTAAATAATGTAAAACATATTAATAATAACTATTTGAAAACAAAGTAGGCCCGGACCTACCAAGCTTACCCGCTGGGCACAATACTGCGTATTAACTTTTCATTTTCATTAAATTCATGATGTTTAATAATTTTTCAAAGTTCAGAGAGAAGTAGTAAGTTCATATAATTATGCAGAGAGCTGTAATCACATTCGTTAATTGATTATTAATATTATGACTAAATTAATATACACTTTTTTTCTCTAAACTTTAAAAAATTATTAGTTATGAATTTAATGAAAATAAAAAGTTGATACGTCAACATTTTCAAAAAAATAAACTCTATAAATTGGCTTTCTTTAAATTTTCAGAAAATAATAAAATAAAACTATTTATATAACAATTTTATTTAAATAAAAATATTTCTTGTCCTTATCCTTATCAGTAATATAAACAACAAAATTTGATTATCTTTATTATCTCCAAAGATATTACTTGGCCCGACAAGAGGGAAGGGCAGCCGGAGCTCTTTTTGAGGCTCGGGCCAGGAAAAGCAACCAAGTCTAATATTTTACCCAAATTTTTAAAAATCAATGTCGAAAATGAAATATTATTTGTTAATAATATAATAATTACTTTGTACCACATTATATGTGTTATTAAAAACATGATTTTTGATTTTGAATACCTTATACCTCGACCTTAAACTTTATTTTTTTTACAAATTTTAAATAACGATACTTAGTGTTAGTGGTAAGTTTAATATTTGACATTAGAAAGAATCAGTTTATCCCTAGGACCCTTCATTTCTCTCCACGGCCTTGGATATTACAATGGGTATATATTCATGGGACACTCTGTATTATGTAGAAGTATAATGAGATTTTGTTATCTAATAGGTAATTTAATAGGTTAATACCTGCGTTTCCTTGATCAATTATTCAAATGATATTCAATGGAAACACGATAATATAAAAATAAGTACGTAATAAACTATAATAAATGTATTATCTATATAGCTTACAGGGCAAGTACCTACAAGAATGGTGAGGGTAAAAAATTATTATAAACATTTACAAAATATATAACTCATATAATATTACTATCCATAAATAGGTATAGTGAGTCTGTAAGTATAGAAAAATAATTTACTCATTTTTCCGTGATAATCCTTGATAATATTATGTAATTCTAATTCGCTATTATCCATGAATATACATTAAAATTAATACAAACTACTAGGAAAAAAAACATGTAAACCGATAAATTGCAGCATTTAAAAAAAAAAAAAAAAAAAACACTGTCAGAATAGTAACCAACTGTATGGAAAAATCTCACTAGATTCACTTGAACTTGGTACGTAAAGAATTCGTAAATGCAAATAGAATTTCACACAAATATTCGCTAAGGGGTCGTAGAGACCTATTAGTTTTTTTTTTGTTTTTTTTGATCATTACAACTGTTCAAAATTCCGAGTTCGTTCAATCAGTCGAGTATAAATTCCCGCTCAATTTTATTAATGTTTTTTTTTTTTTCATACGGACTAAGCCTATGTCACAGGTTGTAAGGTGGAGACAGTACATGCAGGTATAACGCTCACTTAAACTAGTTTTATTAATAAAAGTGGATGATAAATAGGTAAGGTGGGCTGACCATTGAGACTGACATTGTGCAGTTTTAATAAATATTATTTGATTAATTACAATTATATTATCAGCAATTAAAAAAAAAAAATAAAGTATTATTAGGCAAAATGTCACATCTAGATGACATCTTCGAAAACTCAATGGTATTAAGTTGTTTCAAATATGCTCCAACTACTTCGGTTGATGTTTAATAGTTATTTTCAATTTATAATCATATATTGACAGACAGGTGTTACTAGTTTGCTAAAGAAAAACTTTAATATCATTTAGTAATTAATTTGAATAATGATAAAACACTTTTTTTTATAAATATTATGTTATTCAATATATTTAAAAAAAAATGTTGTACCTAGTTACTAAAATTATAAATGTTTTTTATTCTTCTACTGCATATTATAATACTTTTTATTGTATATAAATTCATGTTATAGTGATAAACAATACAATAGATAAAAAATAAATTTTTAATATTATGTACTACTATTAATCCTGTAATTTGGTATTTTTAAACAACATAATACATATATAATGAACCTAAACAAAATATTTTTGTAAAAAAATAATAAATGAAATGTAAAATTAAATATCATTTTTTTAAGGACAAAATAAATATTGAATATATTATTCTAAAATTGAATAAATATAAATACATATACAATTATGGTAGTTGCTTTTTAAAATACAAATTAATAGTATTATATGTATACCAGTATACTATATGTATCTAAATTTGTATAAAAAAATAAACTATTAAGTTAGAGAAATTTAAAAGAATTACATATATATTAAAAATAAATATATAATATATTAATAACATTCTATAAACATATTTATAATTTGTTAACAAATCAACAGATCCAATTTGGCAATAATGATAAAAATAATAATACAAAAATTATAATAACAATATTTTCTAAAAATAAATTTAAATGCTATAATTAAAATTGTATAACAATAATCAAATTGAAACTAAATAATAATGGGGGGGGGGGAATTAAATAAGTGAAATTATTTGGATAGGTATATAATATGTAACAAACGATAATAATTAAAAACATAATAAATAATAATACTTTGTATTTTTTTTTTTTTTTTTGATGATGTATAAGATTTTATCACATAAATATGAATATCTCAATATTATAAACTTTTAAGAGATTCATAAATTTACCATACTGATTAGTATTTACTTTTTTACTTAAAACTTCTATTTCTTTAAAGGATCAAGACTTTCTAATGAAAAATCTTCAGTACTCATTGATAAACCGCGACTAAAACCATCCTGAAAAATAAAAATTAATGCATTATTAATTAAGTCATTATCAAATAGGCAAATTACAATTAAAATATTTACCTTCATTTCTTTGATCCTCTTATCCAACAAACCAATGTCACTTTCAATGCCATTTTTCACACTTTGCCCAAAATCATCCATACCGAATGGATCACTGGCTGATGTTCTAGGCTGACCAGCTGGTCTCGGTGTAGCTTTGAATGGACTTAAACCAAAAATATCATCAGAATTCTGAGAGCGGCGTCCTGTATCTCTAGCTGGTTTTGGAGGAGGGGCCACTATAACAAATATTAAATCATAAAAAAAAACAAACCAGTTAAATAATACGTAGGTACTAATTTCATAAACAATATACTTACATAATGGAGGTGATGTAGAAGAGGTAACACTATTATTGTTGATCCTGGGATCGAAACTGTTTTCCATATCATTTAACAAAAGCCCTTCAAGACGTGTTCCAACACTAGGAGTTGGTTTTGTCTCGCTAGTAGATAAACTGAAACCAATTAAAATGTATTATTTAAATTTATAAACTTTGATTTCATAACCATATAAAATAAAAAATACACTAAGAGCGAAGAATAAAATAAAAAAAGTAAACATTAACCACCAACAAATTAACTTAAAAAAGTAATCTCATTGATATTTGATGAACATTAATTTTTATAATTTACGCAATATAAAATAATTTTTTTTACGTACTATACTAACTATTTGGTTTTAATGCAAGTATCAAATAGGTAAAGTTTAATAAATAATTTCTAAATTATATTTTTATAATTAATTAAAATCTAATAAAACATTGACACCACATTTATCAATCAAAATACATTTCTAAATTAATCTATAACTTAAACTTGATACAAATTTCTCACCTCAAATTATCACCATTGTTATTAACACTTCTCGGTGGTACTGGTGGTGCTGGACCAGATTGAGAACCATTGCCATTAGTCAAATTAATAAGGGAAGATGAATTATTATTATTCATGTTATTCACTTGCAACATATCACTGATACCATTTTGACGCATATATTGTTCAACATCAATCTAAATTTGTATGATGTTTTAATTAAAAGTAGGTATTTGTCACCCATGATTTTTTTTTTAGTTTTTTACCTTTCCACTAAGGGCATCAGATAGCCTTTGGCGCAAAACACTATTTTCATTTTCCAATTCTTTTACACGTTGTTGTAAAACCATAACTTTGCGCTGAACTTCCATGTCTAAGAAACGTCTAAGGAAAAACATCCAATTTGAAGTTTTTTACCACCATTTATTTATTATAGTTTAAAACATGAGTTATTTAATATATATAAATCATTAATTCAAATTTAGTAGTATGTATTTTCCAAAAATAAATAATAAATATAAACACTTAATCATAATACAAGAGGTCACTTCCTTAATAGAAAATGTTTTTAAATTTTCTGTTCAATGTATAATTGTAAAAAAAATAAATAATATAATTTCTCTAAATTGAAATATAAAAGTAAATTTAATGGGGATCAGTATCACATTTTAATAGCCTTTTTAATGATATACAATTAGTGGATCTTAATTTTCTAGGTTCACTGATATCAGTTGTTCTAAACTGTGAACATCCCACGATTTCAGAATCTGATCCCAATGTTAAAGTAGATTCACTGGTGTGAGGTTGATTTTGGTTCACCCATCGTTCCAATATAGATTCTCCTTGTTCATTTTTCTCTTTAGCTATGTCGCCATATTCAATTTTACACATTTCTGCTACACCTTGCAATACTTCTGGTTCGAAATTATCCCAATCAAATTCTACCGTAGTGTTATTTCGTTGTATTTCACTGTTTACTTCCATTAATGGACAATTAATATCCGAGTCACTAAAGTAATCAGACAATTCATTTTCTGAATAGTGTTTGAACTCAACCATTTCATATTGATTTTGTTCGATTATATTATAGTCTAATGATGCCCATCGGTCATCATCATTAGTGTAACGATCTAAAACAATTCTTCCACCTCTACCATATCTTGGCCTGCATAAACCTAAAGATTTATATTTTCTATTTTTTTCTACATAAACTGGTTGAAATCCAAATGTAGGATCTACAGGTTCAGGAGAATTAATAGGGGCTAGATAAGAACAATGTTTATTTCGACGGAATGACCATTTTCCACCACCTTCTTCAACATTTTGAACTTTATGTGGCGGAGAGTACATTTCTTCATCAGAACTTAAATGTCCCATATCATAAGACTTATGTTTTCTTTTCCTATAATGCCTTTTTTCTCTTTTTGAGTCCTGATATTTAGCATTTGTAGAATTTTTTTTCATATCACCTTGTTTCCACATGGCAGACATAAAATGATTGGTTGAAATTGGTGTAAATGCCTGTCGTACAGCTTTCACTAATTCCACATCCTTGTAAAGTTGGCCATCAAAGTCACGTAAATTACAACGTTTTTTGTATGTATCAAGAGTTAATTGAACTAATTGTTTTTTAATAGTTTCTCGCTGTTGAATCATTGCCATTAATTCTATTGCCCTAGCTAAATTTCTACGTAATTTTAACATTTTTTCATATGATGCTTCGTCGTTTTTACGGTTCTTTCTAGTTTGGATTTTATCACGCCTTTTTCTGAAAGCTACATATGAATCATTAGGAGGAGCACCAGCTATTGGTTCAGTGCGTACAGCTGGAGATAAAGTATGACCTATACGTACTCTTTTCCTCAACCAAAAATCATAAATCATTAATATGGTATCTTCATCATCTTTAGTTAATGCCTTAGCATCAGCTAAATCAATAATATTATAAGTACTATGTTTTTCCCATTTGTCAACAAGCTCTTCAAGTTTATCAGCTGTAATACCATTTGATTTACCAGTAGTATTAAGCCATTCTAAGTCTTCAGAGTCATAATCATATTCTGGAACATCCTGTTCCATAGTAAAAGGTGTTATATGTATTAGCTGTTTTGGCGGGTGGCAATTTGGTGGGTATGTTTGATCGTGCCATTTTAGATCATCACCTAATAATTTAGCTATATCAGGTGTAGGTATGACACTTCCAGCTACCATAGCACGTTGTAAATGATGTTCAGACTCTTCTTCTTTTTCCATACCACTAGGCATTTGGGGAACGGCGCGCTTTAATTCTGTACATTCGTGCAGGTCAGGCAAATCATCAGACATATAGATTGGCAGAGGTTTTGAAACATCCAACTGCCGAGCTCTGAAAGTCGGCTTGTTCGTCGGCTTGCTGGGCCACCTACCACAATAACAATCCGACATTACTATTTTCCTTTAAAATAACTATTTATTTTTACTTTGCAGGGTGATCAATATTTGCTATGACCACAGATGTATAAAACAACTAGATAAAAGACTCCATGTAAAACATGTAGTTTTGATGTACAATCTCCCATTTGCCAAGTTAGCAAAATAGACATTGACAACAAAGATTATTTAAATTTGATAGACAAAAATAAAATATAATATAAGTCTCAATGTCAATTTGTTTTACCAGCTTAGCCAAATATGATATCCATGGGTCATTGATAAGATCGAGTCGGAAATCTAGTTGTTTTACATATCTATGGCATTAGCCAACAATAATTTTTAAGAGAACAAGCAACATAAATTTGAGTGTATAGGTTTTTTTTTTGTAATATTGTAGATATCATTTGTTGTCGTTGTATAAAGCTTAACCACCCTGCAGTATCTAATCTACTAGTACTTTTCATTTATTCTGTCTACAAATTAAATAATTCTAAAAGGCACGACTTCAGTAGGCTAGACAGAGTTCGGCATTTGAATGTTTTCAACCGTGCAGATAACTGAACATTATTAATCATTTTTTACACACTATTGTTAATTATATATATATATATATATGTATTAAAAAAAGCATGCAACTACAATTTAAAATATATACAGTAATTAATATTATGTTAGTGTTGTCAGTTTGACAGATGACAAATAAAATCATAACTGTAGAAAAAAAAAAACCTATTAAACAAACACTATACAAATTATTATATTATTTTAATAAAGATTTGTTCACAATCAGATCTTAAATATGCACACCATAAATTAACAAATAAAACACTAATTTATCTTGAAAATAGCATTAAAAATCAGGCAGCTAGACTGAGAATCGAACCAATCTCTCTCAGTTGACGAGTAATATGATTGAGAGAACAATATGGCACTCGAGGGCATATTAACATATACAGGAAGATATTGAGAAATAACTTTTGAGTTCTGATCAATGTCTAATAAATTATGGTCCATCAACAACTAAATATAATATTATAAGCTATTGCAAATTTAAAATTTCCAATTATAAAATTGAATAAATGTACAGTGTACCAAACACACTAATAACAGATAAAGAAAATATGTTTTACTTAATATACTACAATGAATTAAATTCTCACATAACTATGTGCTCAATATGTCCAATTACACAAAAAATATAAATATGACACTTAAAAGTGTATAAAACAAAGTTATTTTAAAAATTCTAAATTATTATCAAATCAATTATATAATTGTAATTATATCAAATATCAAAAATAAATTCACTTAAATATTGAATGTCTATACTATGTTTAATAATGTAAACATATAAATAGGCAGTGGATGATAACCGAAAAAATTGCATACTTTATAAATTATGCGAAATACATTTACCCATTTTTAATTGAATATTTTGGATACTATTAATATAACAAAGTAATTTGTTGTAAATAACTACTCAAAGTATGTTAAATAAATATTAAATAGGTTCTACTAATAATTAATCAATCAAAAGTTAAATTTGCTAGCATATAGCTGAAGTGAAAAACACCAAGTAATTTATTATTGCTTTTGAGATAATATTATAACATACTTGTATGCTAGATCAAAAGCTTGGCCAATGCTAAGAGTGATCTCTTCAGCTAACTTGTCACTCATGAATACAAAACAAGTGTGTCTTTCAGATTCATTTGAATCTTTTACAATAAAACTGAAAAACTGTTTGTCCACCTTATCGTCAGCACAATAAGAAATTCTGTGCAAAGGATATTGATGCATTATTACCTATGGGAAAAATAATAGGTATTTACACCGGACAAGAACTCAAAAGCCAATAACAGTAGTAATTCTACTTTTGTTTTTGGGTCTTGAAGTGCCACGCCTTCGACACTTATTGTAAGTTCAACTTTTGGTACTTTTGAACCTTCAGCTTTCCGTACTTGCTGATTAAATTTCAGTTTTCTGATAGAGTCTTTGATTACATTAAAACCTTTCGGTTGGTCTACATCGACATTTCCCAAAAACTGTAAATTACAATTACTAAATAAAATTACTGCTACACATATTATAGAAATTTCCAATTAATACCTTTACAATGTACGCAATATGACCTTTTTGTAAAGCTTCAGGAGGATGAATCCAATTTCGGTTTTCTTTAAAAGAAAAAAGAATTGAATACCATAAATATTTTTTTTTCCTGTTAAATAAAAATATGACTTACCTCCTCCTTTGGCAGATTTGTTATTGGAGTTTTGTGTCCATTTAAGCAAATTTCCAGTGTTCCTCATTTTCATATATTATTGTGAGCAATTTTTCTGAAATATTCAAAATTAAATTTTAATTACTTTAATAATTTTATAAACTAGGTAAGTATTATAATAATTATTTGCTGTAATTTATTTATATGCCACGAAAATCACACACCCCGAAATAGTGATATACAATTACAAATATTGGATTATATAACAGTTAATATAACTGTAAAATTATTTAGAATCAACAACAAACTTATAAAAATGGATTATAAAAACCCTAGAAGCCCTACTACCAGGCTGATAATAGCATGTTGAAACTGGAAGTACAATTTATTATCATTGTAAAATAAGAATTATGATATTAAAATATAGATAGTAAACAAATAATCAATAACCCAACTATATTAAGGGCAAACAATAAAATTAAAAATCCCCACAAGTAGGTATCTACTACCTAGTTGAATACAAAACTCTGATGAAAAGGTTTAATTAATATAAACTAATTTGTTTTTTTTTTTTCAAAATTTAGTTGTATAATGTCGTTGGAAAACAGTTTTCAATTTTTTCAACCCTCGAACAATACATATTATTAACTATTATAGTGACACACGCCAACCTATGTGGTTCTTCCGTTTATTTACTTATCGCGTTTAATGATAAGATATCGTACGACGTCCGTAACATTATAATTGGGGTGAAGTTTAGTGCCTATTAATAATTAATAATCAACAATAGATACGAGTGATATAAATAATAATAATAATAATAATAATAATACATAGCATTAGACGTATCAAAAATGACGTGGAATACCTACGTAATAAAAAAGAATATATATATATATGTGTATATAATATTATATGAAAAACAATATGGTTTGCTTACGGCTCACACGGCGACGGGGGGGAACGGCGAAACGTTTTTCGGGCGGTGTTTTGGTTTTTGCGGCGACCGAGTTTCACGCAACGGCGATGAAGTTTACGGTGGCAGTCAAAAGCTTTTGTTTGCGTTTACGCGATAGTCGACGGCGACGGGAAAACGGCAGCGTTCGTCGAGGGAATCAAACAAGACAACAACGCCATTTTGATACTGCGAAACGGCCGTGTGGCGGGACGAGGGAAAACGAGCGCCGTGTTCATCAGGTGGGGATGGCACAGCGGGGGTCGACGGCTACGGCAGTGAATGCAGCGCACAACGAGAATATTTCAAAACAGGCGAGGCGTGGCCTTCGGCTTTGTGTTATTCTCCGTTCTTTTGTAGTCCTCGCCGCGCTCCGCTGTGCGACGCCACCGTTCGTAACGCGGTCGGTAGGTTTATAACGTCTTTGTTGATGGCTAATAAACCGCGCGTTTAAACGCATTTTTGAAAAACAAAGACGACCGTTTTTCGTCTCGATCGTGTTCAGTTAGGTACGTGTAATACAACTCAGAAGCGGGGCGGATAGAAAAACATCCGGTCCGACATTAATTAGACATAAGAATTTAGTTGTGTTTAATAAGTGGAAAAAAAAGTATAATTGTTCACCGTAGGTATAAACAAAAATATAATTAAATAGTTTTCAATACCTAGCTCTATAGAAAGACAATTAATAGGTACCAAGAAAATGTATTTTAGATCTGGAGTATTTTATGGATCAGGACCGAAATTTCTTTTTTGCGTGGATCTTGTTAACTTCCTATTGGCACTATCTAGAAAAAAAACCACTTGTAAAACTATTAGCTTTATAGTAGTATAACATGAAAAGGACTATGACGTGGGTAATTTTTATTTTTCTAGTAGGCGGATAGAAAAATGCATTCACAGCCCAGTTGGGGGCTATGTCCCTCCTTCGGTATGAGTTTTACCATTGCCATTTACCATTACACCCACATAATTTTTGATAGAATAATTTTTTTTTTCATATTTAACAAAATGGATAATAATTTAAACATTCCAATTTTAAGATAACGGCAAAAATAATAAGATAACATTTTATCACGATGACCCCACCAGTAATTGAACCACAAACATAATACTTGATATAGTTTTATGAATTGATCATCTATGCCATTTTTGAAAATAAATAAATACTATTATCATGATTATCGGGGTAATGGGATAGTCGCGAGTGGCAAAGAATAGGCTCACTTATATACTCGGTAAACTGTGGTAATCCAGTAGGCAAAATATCAATAGGACGAGCAAGGTCCAAGGCTAAGATGATATGATGAAAGATGTGAAACAAGTTGTACCGGATGCTGAGTGGTGAGTCTTAGCGACGGACAGCGAAAGATGGTATAGCATGATTGTCAGTATGGTCTTGAAGGCCGACAACTACGAAGGAGGAGATGATTAAAAAAATCACCGAATATATTATCAATTAATTATCAATTCCTATACGAATTATTACCAAGGTGGAACATCCATTTTGAACAATACAAATATACAGTAGGTAGTATTATTTACATATATAATAATATAAATCTTTGGTGCACAATATACATACCATTTATGTTTATCATCTGCCTATGTATAGTTGATAAATTATACCTTAAGGTTATACTCCATAAGTGAAATTGTTCAATTTATGAACATATAAAATAGACAATTAATGGCCAAATAAATTGTACAAATCATATATTAAGCAAAATATTGTCCTTTTCATGGATTGGACTTCAAAATAATGGTCCATTTCATAAACTGGCAACTGAAAGTCTTAGAAATGCAATTCAATACAACATTATTTAATGAAACATATGTTATCAATAAAGAGCAACAGATTTTATTACTGTTAATATAAAAGTGACCTATATTTTTTAATTCAAATTGTAACATATATATTTTTTCAAATGTATAAATTGAATTCAAACTAGTACCCACAGTGATTATTAATTGATATTATTAAATAAATAGGTAGGTAATTAATTTTGGTTATCATTAATTTAAGATATGGAAATAATAAAATGATATAAAAAGATAATATTATTCAATTGAATTATATTCAGTTTATTTTTAAATTAAACAATAGCATATTGCATGTTGAAAATATTTAATAAAGTAGTCGAAAATATTTTACGAAGTAACTTGTAGTTTTTAATTAAAATTGTATTATTACAGTATGATTATTATATATGAGTACTTATTAATAATCAATAAATATTTACATGCTATAATACCTATGGTATCAATATTCATCATATACTTAGTGATGCTTAAAAGTTCTTGATTTATCAATATTAGCTATTCGTTTAAATGTTTTATGAATATATTAGGAACATTACCTACTACCAATTATTTGCAATCAATATATTTGTCAAAGGTATATCAAAATTATTAAAATTATTAGCATAATTTAATGATTTCAAAATATTTTTTCCGTTTTATTGTAATAGTTAATTATTACTATGATGGTGCTTCTTTATTGCCCATATTTTATTGATGTCTGTAGTTTACACTTGTATAGATGATAATTATTTTAAATTCATGTATTTCTACATAAACATCAACTAAATTCAATGAACTAATATTATTACCTAAGTAAATAAAATTGGAACTGAACAATTTTCTAGCAGTAAAGATTAGTACCGATTCTGGTAAGGGATTGACTTTGAAAAAAAATAAAAATATCCAATTCTGGTTTTAATATTTTTTTTTTACAATATCATTTAGTTCAATGAAAATTCTGATTGATGTTTGAACAAAAAATGTTAACATTTATAGATTTATCTATGAATTTTTGAAAAATTTCACTTGGTATGTTAAGAAAATCTTCATTCGTATAATCAAATACACTTAGAACATAAAAGTGTTGTTCATTGTTTGAAAACCGATTATTTAACTGCATAACGTTCTTAATAAAAATAACAAATACACACAATTATTGAATTGAAATAATAAATATATAATATATTAGGCACCTATATAATTATTCATTATTCATGTTACAATTAAATACCTGTGAATAACTTAATATAACAATTTAATTTTCATGTGTAATATATTATATTCCTTATTTCCATTTTTTCGCAAAGTTGTATTAATAAAATAATTGTTTAAATGTTTATTATAAGTTTGATTTTTTTTTAAGCTTGTACCTACTAATACTGTATTTGTATTTTGTTCCTTTTTGCTACGATAGTAGCATATTTCAACTACGCATTATCATTTGGAAAACTTAAAATATTTTCTTTTAGACTTCACCAATGCCATAGTCGATGAGAGTAAAATCTTTGAATTTTGAAATTTACAAGTTAAACAATGAACATATTCTAGTATAATAACACACAAAATTATTTCTAATATAATTAAAATAAAAGTTGATGTTGTTTCAAGTAAACCAACTGTTCTAACTGTCTGACCACGATGTTTAATCAAAACACATTACCTATTTTATCTCGGTGTAACAGAATTAAATTTTTGTAGTGATGAATACCAACTAGTGTCGTCCAGACTTTCTGAATGTATTTATAGTTTTTTTTTTATCTTTTTGAGTTGATATGAAAAATTTATATCTTTAAGGTTATAATGGTTTCATTATTTTAAATTTTATTTTTTTTATTGATATTCAATTAAAAATAACTGTGGAAACCTGAAGTTTTCACAAAAAAATTATATTAATATTTTCTAGATGCGGTAAAATTCTGGCGATTGTTGAGTTATTTACAGGCCCATAACATTTTCATATATTTTTAGTTTTTATTTGGTTTTACGTGGATAAAATTGTGACGAGTAGAAATGTTTGAAAATTGTGTAAGTACTACGTTCATCATGATTTGAACCTATTTTGTGGTAAAATAAATGTTGAGTGCTATTTACATAATTACATGTTACGTTTTAAGTTTTTTTAAGCGTACGTATATTCATTAAAAAAACGAGTATATATATATATATATATATATATATATATATCACTGGTTATAAGGGAAAATGTCGGAAAGGTCAAAAACACTTCTTTTGATGGATAGAGGGCTAATCGCCAGGGTTTCAGAACTTGTATGTTCATCAGTAAAGTATAAACTAATTATTGTATTCCAAAAGTCAGTTATCGATGTGTTAGTTCA